TGTCACTGTCATCCTAACATCATCTCTTGTGACTTCCGTATCCGCTATAATTCTTGTACAGCGTTCCTCGTGATGTTTGTGCCACCACAATATATTTGATATATCTGATATACGAGTTAAATTATAATCATCATCAATAAACGATTGCTCATAAAAAATAAATTGATCTCATTCATGAATATTTTTGTTCTGAAATTGCTAATTTATTTAATTTATTGATCATATTACTTGCGAAAAATATTGAAATGCCTGCATTAAACATTCTTAAAAAAATTCATCTCCAGAAAAAAATTGTAAGCAATATTAATATATTTGAACTAGATCCTTGCTTTTTATGCAACAACGAACTTTTTATGTATGAAATAATAATAAAGCCAGTTACCTTGCTTACCTACATTAAATTATATTGGAAAATATTATTATTTCTGATGTCCCTGAAATAAACTAATCTCCGAAAAAGGAAAAGAAGGTTTTCAAAATTTTACTATTTATTTACTGTGCCCCTTAATTACATGTATCACATGCATCATTGTAAATGATTTAATAAAGGTTACGTTCGAAATATATTTTTTAATTATTATCATGATCATTCCTTCATTACCTGATGATTGTATTCACGAAATTTTTCAATACCTTCAAAATGATCGAACCACCCTTTATCAATGTCTCTTCGTGAATAAATTTTGGTGTGGCTGTGCTATACCTTTATTATGGAAGCAACCTTTTTCAAATTTTAGATGTTGGGAATTTATAATTCGAACTTATCTCGATTGTTTAAAACCTTTAGAACTTTTAAATTTAAAACCTTATAATCTTTTGATACCATTCTCTTCCTCGCCACCATTATTTGAATATGAACGATACCTTGAATCCTTTTCAAATTCTGATATGGAAATTGGAATTATTACTTGGTTACGTACAAACGAATCATTTAATAATAATAATAATAATAATAATAATAATAATAATAATGAGAATAATAATAATATTATTATTAATAATAATATTAATAAGAGTGGAATAATTCGTATGAATGATGAAAGAATTCGACCTATTATGAGATCACTTTGGCAAATGTTTCTTAATAGAAGTAAAAATTTAAGTCATTTAACGATTAATACAGGATTTGGTACATCTGATTTACCGGAGATATCATTATTTCATGAAATTAAATCATTATCATATCCAGGAATTTCAAAATTAAAAAGTTTAGATTGTTGTATTGGACATAAAAATCATGAAATTAAATTATATCAAAATACCATGAACCTTTTACAAAATTGGGGAATAATTTGTACAAGTTTAAAAAGGATTTGGGTATCAGTTTGTGAAGAAAATGTTGCATCACAAGATTTAATATCAAATATTATTAAATCACAAAAGTACCTTTTAGAATTTAAATTTACTGGAGTAGATAATATTACAGAGAATGTTATAACTTCATTAAAATATAATTCCCAATTTTTAATTACATTAAAATTTTGGATGCTTAAATTAGATGGAATATCATTTGAAGGATTAAGTTCATTAAAAACATTAGAATCACTTGATATTCAATGGTGTGAAGGGATAACAATTAAACAATGTAAATTTTTATCTAAAGCAAAATTTAAATTGAAATCATTAAGTTTATGGGAAAATACTTTATCACCGGAAATTATATCCCTACTTATAGAAAAAGCCGGAGATACATTATTAGATTTAAAATTTGATATAATTACAATGGAAACGATCGAATCAGCATCAAATTATTGTCCAAACATTATAAACCTTTGTACCACGACCAAGAAAGAATGTTATGATTATTTATTTCCTTGGATTAAAAAATTGAAATTAAAAAAATTAGATTTTTATTCATCAGGAATTGATTTAAGTGAAGGAATTCGATTATTAGGAGAAAATATTTCACCCACATTAACTTATTTAAATTTTGATTATATTTCATGTACACCAGAATCTTTTGAATATTTTTTAAAATTATGTAAAGCTCCATTAACAACTTTGGTAATTTTATTTTCTAAAGAATTTATTGATAATTGTTTAGAAAGAATAAAAGATTTCGTGGTAGAAAGGAAAAGTATGAGAAATTTAGTATTTGTTTGTACACCGATTCTTTGGTTAAAATGGAGTAAAAAAGAATTAGAAATTATTAAAATCATGGAAAAGTATGGACTTAAAGTTGTTAAATCTATTAGTCGTAAATTTTAGTCGTCGTAAATTTTAGTCCTAAATTTTAGAAGATTAAATAAATATTTATTGAAAGTTTCATTTAATTAATTTATCATATTTATTTTTTTTTTTAATCATTTTTTTTTTAATTATTTTTTTAATCATCTTTTTTAATTATTTTTTTTTATAACTGAACTTACAAATTGCCGAGTTACTAAAGTTACGAAAGTTACAAAAGTTACAATGAGTGAATGTTTGTTAGGAATTTATTTCATTTACAAAAAAATTGAGAAAATCGTAATCACGGTAAAAAAAATAAATAAAATATATTGTTCTTTATTCTATTCATGAAATGTTATTACCCAGATACATCTTTGATTGTAAAATAGTTTTTTCCCTTTGATCAAAAAAAAAAGAAAAGAAAAAAGAACATCGAATAAATCTTATTGATATCCTCCCAATTATTCTAATTAACAGCAAATTAATTTATTTTTGGAGAATAAATAATTTAAATCATCAATCACGCAAAAAGTAAAGTAATCATATTAATCTTTGAAATTCGAGCTTCCTTTTTTGCAATCTTCCAATCATCATCATCAACTATATCAATCTTATCATTAACTTGATTTTTATAAAATAATCGATTGAGGGAAATCTTGGTATTACGAGTTTGTTCAATTTCATTAATTAAATCTTTAAGAGTTCTATCATGTGGTATTAACATTGCATATTTTCGAGTTAGGAATGAACATGTTACGTGAATTAATTCCTAAAATAAAAGAAGAATCAAATTTATTATTATTATTATTATTATCATCTAGATAAATTAAAAAATGAATTAATTACATCATTATCAGGAGGTGTAACGTCGGAGAATTCGGACATTCCATCGGTTTCTCCTGATGATTGAAAATTGTTATTTTTGTTATTATTGTTGTTGTAGATATTATTATTGATATTGTTATTGATATTGTTGATATTGTTGTTGATATTATTGTTGATATTATTGTTGTTGTTGTTGTTGTTGTTGTAGTTGTTGTTGTTGTAGTTGTTGTTGTTGTTGTCGTCGTCATAACCATCATTTTGAACATTCTGAATAATTTGACCATTTTGAAATGTTCTCACATCACTTTGATCAGAAGAAGAAATTGAAGATAATTGTGATGGCAACTTCTAAAATATATAAATGTAATAAATATCTTTCTATAATAAAAAAAATTATTTTATGTATCTTGATATTGTGATTAATAAAAGAAAGAAATGAATTACTTGAACATTTGATGGTTGCAACAAGGGTTTGAAATCCTTTGAATAATAATAATAGTAAAGAAAAAGAAGAAGAAATACTTTTTTATTATATTATATCCATAAATATATTATTATTATTATAATTATTATTATTATTATTATTATAATTATTATTATTATTATAATTATTATTATAATTATTTATTTACCTTCAATTCATCACCAACATCAGTATCAAGAAGAGACATGGTAGACAAATTACTGTTCTCTCGTGTTAAATTATTGCTATGGAAATTTAGATTTTGTACATTTCTACCGTTCAGAAGGTTCAAAGGTGTTAATCCAGATTTATTTGGCTTAAGTTTTTTTTTTTTTTTGAAAAAAAATTAATAAAAAATTTTTTAAAAAAATAATATTTGAAATAAATAAAAAAAAATTTTAAATAAAATAATCTTACATCAAATTCATTGTAATCCAATTGTTGATATTGTTGCTGTTGTTGTTGTTGTTCAACTCCTCTCGTCTAAAACAAATATTAAGTGAATTTTGAATAATATAGAAATTAATAAAATTAATTCTAATAAATAATTAAAAAATTCAACCCACCAAAATATACTCAAATTTTCTACCTCATTATCACAATTATTATTACAATCATTACTATTACAATTATTATTATTATTATGAAATATTACTTGCCACTCTAGATTCATTTCTAGATTCATTCCTAAATTCATTTCTAGATCCATTTTCAGATCCATTTCTAGATCCATTTCTAGATCCATTAGGCAACTGTTGATATTGTTGATAATAATTATTATTATTATTATCATCATTATTATCATCATTATTATTATTATTATTATTATTATTATTATTATTATTATTATTATTATAATTATTATTATAATTATTATTATAATTATTATTATTATCATTGTTGTTGTTGTTGTTGTGAATTTTTAAATTTGCTTTTTGCTAAATTATTATTATTATTATTATTTAAATAAAATTCTCATTATTAAAATATTAGATCATTAAATATAATTAATATCAAAAGAATATTTATTAAATGAAAAATGTTTAACACCAACCCAATTTTTAATTTCTCGCGCTAATTTATGAACCGTTTTGTCTTCTACGGAATCATCGAACGAAAAAATGATCTTATTCACTTCATCAAGTTGACCTTGACTCGGATCATTAGGAATTTGAATTCTATAATCAAGATTATCGTGAGGAAATTCATTATACTAGATATATATACAAAAGATCATTAATTAATTAATTCATCTATGTTATTTGTTCAATGATTAATAATAATAATAATAATCATATTATTATTATTATTATTCTTCTCCCTCCTCTTTTTCACTTAACTTACAATTCGTACAAAGTTTTCTTTGAACGCCAAAACCAGAAACCTCTCTGAGGTATATTGAAATTTTTGCAACTGATCTACAGGAATTGCAATTTCCATTCTCTTTTGAACCAAGAGAATACAAATTTCTTTTTCAGGTATTCGATAAATAAATGCAAGATTAGAAGTTACATCGGGATTATGATTATGATTATAATTATGATTATAATTATTATTATTAATTGAAATTGAATTAGAATTTGAATTAGAATTTGAATTAGGATTAGAATTGAAGGTGGTCGTTGAAGAAGTGTTTGAACTTGATGTTAATGATAATTGTTTTCCCGATGGTTCTAAATCAATTTTATTAGTTTCAATTAAAATATATTTTTTACTATTACTAATCGCACTGGAAAGAAGTTGATGATTTTTGACATTATTATAGATTAATTTATTATTTTTGGTGGTGGTGGTGGTGGTGGTGGTATTAGTAAACTTAAGGTTGTTCATTGAAGAAAATGATAATATTGGTCAAAAGACGTGAAAAAGTTGAGGAGGAGGAAATGTAAAAGGATTGCTTGCATTCGGGCGAAGATATTATGTTTTATATTTTTTATATTTTTTATTATTATTATTATTTTGATGATTTATTTTATTTTTTTTTAAATAGTTATTTTTTCAAATATGCACATTATTCCATTATTCATCAGATTTTGACTCCAATATTTATATTTATCACATACATGACGTGACATCCCTTTAAAAAAAAAATAACAATTTTTTTTCTTTTATATAAAAATATAATGATTAATTTGATTATCTAATCAAATTTATGTGACAAAATCAAAATGGAGACAAGCCATTCGAATATCAATCCATATCGAGAGATGGTAGGTGGCTTGTTGTACAACATAGATTTCTCTTTGAATAAAATGAAAATTAAAATTAAAATTAAATTAAAATAAATAAATAACCATTTTTCTAATTTAATCAACGGATCAACAGATCAAATAAAGTTGTATATCTATTCTAAATGATTTTAAAAATGATTTGACTGGATTTGAAATTATTCTTAAAAGTTTATTTTGGTCATTGAATTTTCTTTGACATCAAAGATTTACGATCGCAAATCACTAAAATCGCTAACTATTATTATAATAACATTTTATTAAATCCTTTTTCATTCATTGAATTTCCTATTTTAAATTCGAATTACGAATTTACACATTTTGTTATATAATCGAGGTCTCCGTTGGTTCTCTTATATGTTCATTAGAAAAATTCAAAAATATGCAATGGAATTCCTAAATATAGTATATCTTCTCTGTGTTGAATGCATAAATGCGTAATAAACATAATAAGCATAGATAGTGTAACGTATATTACTATAGAACATTCATGAAAATTTTTTTTTTTTATTATTATAAACTTTATTTTTGATTATATATTTTTTTTTTTTGAATAAAAATGTTAAATTTCAATAATTTCATCACTAATTTGTTGAGTCCAACAAATGAAGGTGAAACAGTTGAATCTGATGAAACTGTTGAAACAGGAGAAACGAGTGAAAAAAATCCTGGTAATATTATCTTTGTATATATATTTTTTTACATTTTGAATTCATTAATCATTTATTATTATTATTATTATTATTTTTTAAATATTAATTAGAAATTACTCTGGGTTCAACGAAATGGTTAGAAAAAGCTATAAAAAAAGGTTACATTTTATCTTTTGATTATAGTGAATTCCATGATATTAAAGAAATAGGAAAAGGTGGTTTCGGTACGGTACATTGTGCAGAATGGAAAAAAGGGGATCAAAAAGTCGCTTTAAAACAATTGAACACTAGTGAACTTAATCAAGCAACTTTAAAAGAATTTACAAATGAAGTAAAAAAAAAAAAATAATAATAATAATTTTTTTTTGTTATTTATATATAAATTTACTCGATTTTCTTTTTTTTTTTAAAAAAAATAGCTCTATTTGCTTCGAAACGTATCTTATCATCCAAATGTTAATAAATTCTTTGGAATAACAAGAGGTATTATTCGACACTTTATGTTATCTATCGATATTTCTTTTTTTTTTCTTATTCTTCGTTTTTGATTAATTTATAATATATTTTATATTGTATATCGTATTATATAATACATTTTATATTATATATCGTATTATATAATACATTTATATTGTATATGGTATTGTAATATATTTTATATTATATATCGTATTATATAATATATATTTAGATCCTCAAAAGTTAAATTACATAATGATCTTGAAATATGCAAACGAGGGTAATTTACGTGATTACTTAAAAAGTAAAAAAAAATCTCTTAAATGGGAGGATAAACATCGAATGTGCTTTGAGATTGCTAAAGGATTACGTTGTTTACATTCTGAGGAAATCATTCATAAAGATTTAGTGAGGATCTTTTTTTTTTTATATATTCATATTCATATTTTATATATATATGTATATATATATTATGTTATGTGATATATTATAGTATGAAATAATAATAATTCTTCTTTATAGCATTCGAAGAATATTTTAATTGACAATGGTAGAATGATGATCGCAGATCTCGGTCTTTCTCGAAGACTAGATGAAACATTATCAACATCAGGGCATCGTGGAATGTATGGATACATCGATCCTCAATGTTACGAAAATCCAGGATATCGAAGAACCAAAAAATCGGATATATATAGTTTGGGAATCCTTTTTTGGGAAATCTCAACTTGTCAAACTCCTCTTCCTTTCTTACCTCTTACTCCCGGTCCCGGAATACCTCATGAATTTATTACTTTATATGAAAGATGTAAAGATCATAATCCGGATCAACGTCCGGATATTGAAGAAATAATTGAAATTTTAGAAAAAATAATTCCTTCTCGATCACAAGAAATTCCAAACATTGAAGAATCTTTGGTTTCTGACGAAGATGAAAAACCATATACTGAAAGTCATTCCAATAGTAATAGTCAATTACATTTACCAGATAGTAATATATCATTCCCTACATCTGATCAATTTACTTCATTTTTACATGTGGATCGAGAACATTTGGAAAATTCAGATTTTTCTGATATATATTTCTCAGCTCCAGAAGAAGAAGATGATGATGATAATATTTTTAAAAGGGCTGATGAAACTTTATCTTCCCCGCTTCCACCTTCCCCTTCCCCCAATAATAATAATAATAATAATAAATTTCCTATTGCATCAAAATTAAAAGAATTAATTAAATTATATGAAGATCATATTAAAATAGGTTCCAATAAAACGGAAAAAAAATATTCGAAATGGATTAAAAATCATTCATTAGAAAGTTTAGAAATCATGTTTAATTACCTTAAAGATAATAAAGATTTCCCTCGAAGGGAATTATTAATTGGACAATTTTATGAGAATGGTTTTGGAATTACCGGAAATAGTAAAGAAGCTTTTAAATATTTTAAGAAAGCTAGTAGTAAAAAAGGTGATACGATAGGACATTATAAAGTTGGATATTGTTATTATAAAGATTTTGGTGTGGAAAATGATAATTATGAAGCATTTAAATATTTTGAACTTGCTGCTACAGATGATAATAATAATGTTAACAATAGTAATAATAATAATAATAATAATAATAATAATAAAGAGAAAGAAAAAGATATAGATGAAAATGAAGAATTATTAAAGGGATCGAAAGCGGGATTAACGGGTATAGCGAATTATATGTTGGGAGTAATGTATGCTAATGGGCATGGTATAGATAAAGATATTTCCGAAGCATTTAGACTTTTTAAAGAAGCTGCGAAATCTGGTTATGTACCAGCTCAATATTGGTTGGCGGATTTTTATTATGAAGGGACTGGAACGGAAAAAAATTCAGAAAAAGCTCAAAAGTGGTATCAAAAATGTTATGATAATGGAGATTATAAAGATGCAGGAGAAAAAATTGATTCTTTACGTAACATCGGATGATAATCTTTTGGTGTTATAATAATTAAAGTTTAAACTATATTTTTATATTCATTATTATTTTTTTTTTTTTACTTTCACAACAAACATTACATTACATTTACATTATTTAGAGATTTTATATGATTGTAAATTATTTAAAGGAATGGAATTTTCATTTTATTCATTTTTATTTCATTTTCTTTTTTTTTCTTTAAAAAAATTATTGATTGATTATTCGTGAGCCAAAAATTTTTTTCTGATTTTAAAAATTATTTAAAGGAAAATTTTATTTTCATTTTCTTTTTAAAAATTATTGATTTGATTATTCGCGAACCAAATTTTTTTCTGATTTTAAAAATTATTTAAAGAAAAAATTTTCATTTTATTCATTTTTTTATTTCATTTTTTTATTCCATTTTTTTATTCCATTTTTTTTTTTCGATTATTTTTTTTCTTTAAAAAAATTATGATCGCTATTCATCAAAAAAAAAAAAATTTTTTTTTTCCTGTATTATATTTTGTATTTTTTTTAAAAAAAGTCATAACCATTTTAAAGGGGATTGTACACTATACTTACTATACTACTACCTCACCCAAAATAAATCTTATCGGATAAATTTTTTTTTTTTTTTTTCGATAAAATATTTTATTATTGTTATTCTCAAGGGTTCAACGATTTTGTTTAATAATTGCAAACTTTATAACTATCACCATCCATGTGAAATGTAAAGCAGAAATTCAAATTTGAATGACAACTTACCATGAGTATTTAATAATAAAGAATATTGTAAAATTAGAATATCCTAATTTTTTGTTATGTAAAAACATTGAAATCTTTTCAGAAGTTTCAAAATGAATTGGTGGCGACCTTAACGATACGAAATATGCCTTCTTGCAAATGAAACTCATTCATTCCAGTAATTATTGTGAGTGTTTGAGGTATTTAGGAAATGAGGATTCCTCCACCCCCCCAAAAAAATATGAATATGCAATTAGAAAAAAATAAAGATATAATTATAATAATTATATAATATTTACAAACATACTTTTGGGTAACATTATTCTTCAACAAAGGATTTTCGGAGAAAAAATTCCATCACTCTTATTAACATCTTTGTGCTTATTTAAAAATGTTGTCATCGTTGTTTTTGTTCTCCGAGAAAATCCTTTATTGTTTATCCTTTTGAAAATATCATTTTTTCTTTTTTTGCTTGGAATGTTTGCTAGAAGAAATATTTCGTGTATATCAAGTTTTATAAAGAATGGCTTATTTAAAATGTTGTCGTTGTTTCTCACTCTCTCTCCGAGAAAACCCTTTATGTTTACCCTTTTGAAAATGCCATTTATTCTTTTTTTGCTTTGAATGGTTGCTAGAAGAAATATTTCGTGTAAGTCAAGTTTTATAAAGAATGGCTTATTTAAAAATGTTTTCGTCGTTGTTTTTTTTTTTTTTTTTGCTTGGAATGTTTGCTAGAAGAGATATTTCGTGTGAGTCAAGTTTTATAAAGAATAGCAATTATATCTAGTATTGTATATTTTAAATGTGTCAAAAATTTTACATTATTTACGTTTTAAAATATGTAAATTTTTGTCCCTTGGCAACACTGACTATACCTATATATTGAAATTATTATTAAGAAGAAGAATCAAAGAAGATTCCAATTATAAAAAATCTGTTGGTCACAGTTAAGATTAGTCAAGTATTATAATACCAAGCGTGATATAAATAAATAAATACTCGATTTTTCTGTCTTAAAGGTTTAATTTTTCAATTTTCTCTTATTGGCGTTACACAAATATATAATATTTGGGGATTTGCAATATTTAGCACGCCAGTTTAGAAAAGAAGTTTAACACGAAACGGGAAACAATAGAATAATTATTATTATTTATTTATTTTAATATAATAATTATTATTTAATTATTTTAATAAAATAAATAGCGGTTTATTCTTCTTTTTTTTTTTTTTTTTTTTTTGCCTTTGTTATCTTAGTGTTATGTATACTTTTATGTTTGGCTATAAAATAAATAATTTTTTTTTAAAAATTAGGTTATTTTCTTACTCAATTATGATTAAGGGAACTTCTAAATTAGTATAAATTTATTTTAGAACACACGTCGATTTCTTATTTCGGAGACAATTCCCTTATCACTTCACTTTTATTTTTAATTATTTTTTCATGAATTTCTTGCATTCGTGCATTTCTAGCATTCTTGGAATTTTTGCATTCTTGGCATTCTTACATTCTTGTATTTCTTGAGTTTATAGCATTTAATCAATTGCAAAAAAAAAAAAAAAACATCACCATTAACAGCAAAACCAACAAAAACCAACAAAAAACAATAATGAAAATAAAAATAGAAATAATAAATAAAAATAGAAACATTTTTTGACAATATGTATGATTTATCTGAAACGGAACCCTAAACATCTTAAACATTTTAAATCATTGTTACTTTTTTTTCTTCGTTTCATCTATATATATACATTGATATTATTTATTTATTTATCATTTATTTATTTATTATTTATTTATTTATTATTTATTTATTTATTTACCTTATCAGTTACTAATTGTTTTTAAAAAAATTGATCAAATGACTTTCTATGATGACCCAGTGTAAACAATACTAGTATCATTGAACACAGCAGATGAATTTTTGTGGAATTATTCATTTTTTTTTACAATGAACTATTTCCGAATGCATATACTCAAATTTATTTTTTTGACAGCGTCATAAGTGATGACAAATTTACCACAACATTGACATCTAATCATATCCAAAAATGTTTCTATCCGGAGCTAAATTTATCTTTTCTTATTGTAATAAAATTAATACACGACGACACAAGAATCGCGTAGGATCATTCCGAGCCATAATATGGAAATCAACATGTGCAAATATATAAATGCCAATAGGAAAGCTTTGTGTCTCACGCTTGTTTATCTTACACATTTTATTTTTTTTTTAATAGAAGATTAGAAGATTCGATGCGATATTATGTTCTTTTTTTTAACAAAAAAAAAAATTAAAAAAAAAAAATAAAATAAAATAAAAACAAAAATAAAAAAATAAAAAAAATAAAAAAAAAGAATATTTGATTTTATTATTATTTTATTTTATTTATATGTTTACCTTTGTTTCCATAAAAATTTGAATCATTTTTAGTACTCATTCTTTAATACATAAAATTGCATAAAAAAAAATGCATTAAATAAAAAAAAAAAAAAAACGTAAATAAATTTTACACGCGCTAGGTGCAACAAATATGTTTTTGTGTGTGTGTGTGGTGCACAGAAAAAAAATGCGGGAGATAATCCTAAATTATATCATCATCTCATTATACACATCACATCACATCAATATTTTAAACCAAACCAAAACTTTAAACATTCTTTTCTTTATTCCAAATTTTACATGTCCCAAAAAAAAACCTATTTAATTAAATTTTAACTTAAAATAAACTAGCAGAAGTTGTTAATTTTAGTCAAACGATTGATTAAAAGACTAAATAGACTAGTGGTGTGTCATACGTTTGACTAAATTAAACTAGCAGTGATTTATACGATTTGAGATGAACTTGTAATTAAAAAGAAGATATAATCCCTGGTAAATTGTAAGTAATGTATGTTTGTAAATAATAGAAAGTATTAGATTATATTTGATAGTATTAAGTAATGAGACAAAATTTTTAATGAGTCTTGTATAAGTTACCCTTTTTTTTTTGTGTTCGTTATTTGTGTTAGTACTAATTTAATGTCTGCATTTAATTTATATTTATATATTTATATAACTGAAACCATGATTATAATAATAATCATAATAATGATCATAATAATAGTCATAATCATAATCATAATAATAATAATAATAATCATAATAATAACTATTTAAACTTTTACTATTGTACAATTGTACATTTTTATTATTTTTATTATGCATTAAATCATTTCGTAAATTTAAAAGAATCGAAACGAATTACAATCCTTGAATAGATCACAGGTTATTTATTTATCCAAAAAAAAAGATTTTTTTTTTTTAACACACAAAACTCAACATATGACATTTCCATTTGTTTATTCTTGAAACAGCATGAACTTATGCCCTTTACTGTACATTTCCGAAACAAACATTATTCCCGAAACAACCGAAACAACAATAATAAAAAATCTAATCTCAAGTCCGTATAAAAAAAATCATCTACATATATGGAATATATATTACATAACATTAAACATAATATATATCAAAAAACTTTATTTTTATTTTATTTTTATTTTATACACACGCACAGACTCAACCGACTAACTATATAAACTACAACTAAACGGATTAATTATTCATCCTTAATCACTGTGTGTAAAAAAAAAAAATCATTCCCCTGATTAAGTAAGTATTTTTTTTTTAGAGAAAAAAAAAACTCTAGGGTAAATATTAATATTATCAATTTTTTAATAAATACTTTATATATAAACTGATTGCTCTTTCTCTTTTTTCTCTAGATTTCATCGCTTCCTTAATTTTCTCAATTTTTACTTTCTTAATTCTTTCTTATTCATTCTCTTGTAAAATACTTGTTTTAAAAATTACTTGTATTTATTTTTTTGCGTCTACTTTCTCTTTCATTTATTATTCATAAAAAATTCAGGTAAGCTTACTATTATTTATTTATTTATTTATTTTTTATTTATTTATTTTTTAATTTCCCTTTCCCATTTCCCTTTCCCATTTCTCTTTCCCTTTTCCCTTTCCCCTTTCCCTTTCCCCTTTCCCTTTCCCTTTCCCCTTTCCCTTTCCCCTTTCCCTTTCCCCTTTCCCTTTCTTTTCTTTTCTTTTCTTTTCTAGTTCTTTCTATACTTTTCTATACAATTCCTATCAATTTTTCTCGATTTTTCTATATATTTTCTATTAAATTTTCTATCCATATCTATTTTAAATTCACCATTTCAAAATTAAATTTTTAAATTTTAATTCTCTCTTTCATACATTCATTCATTCATCCGTCCATTCATTCATTCTTATATTCATTATCGACATATGTGTATATCAATTTCTAATTTATTTTATACATTCATTCTCGTTCACATTAGGAATATTTTTTGAATAATAAATTATCATCATTATCAGCATCATCATCTGCAAATTTGATTAATTGGTAACCATCTCTTTATTATTCTTTATTTTATTATTATTTTTTATTATTAATTTCTTTGTTTCATTTACGATAAATTAATAATTTAATTAATTTAATTAAAGAACAAAGATATACTAACAATTTTTTTTCTTTCTCTATATATCCTCTCCACTATATATTCTATATATATATATCTCTTTTTTATTTTTACATCCTTCTCTTATATCACGTTTCCCTAATCTATTCTCGTCCATTCTTTCCCTTTTAATATTTATTGATTTTTTATCATTGTCATTGTAAATAGCATACATATTACCTCGTATATATCTATATATCTATATATATTCACAATTTTTTTAAAAAATTCTTTTTTTTTTTGCAAAGGATAAATTATTTCTCAAATTATCAAAAATTCATATTTGTAATTTTTCATATCTTTCACACACGCACGCACACATATTTCATCAAATATTATATTTTTCAAATCTTTCATAAAAAAAATTTTTTTTTCATACACATTTATTTCATCATTATATTTTTCATATATATATTCAAATATTTTATTATCATATACATACTTTTATTATCTATTTATCCCGAAAACGAAAGGATTTTAATAAATCACGAACCAAAAAAAAAATAAAATAAAAATAAAAATGGGAAATTGTATATCGAATGATCCAGTCAGTAAACGAATCAATAGAGAAATTAAAGAAGACGAGAAAAGAATGAAAAATGAAGTTAAATTATTATTATTAGGTAAGGTTTATTCTTATTTTTATTCTTATTCTTCTTTTTAGGTGATGAATTTTTTTAATTCTTCCTTACCTAATAACTAATAAATAAATAAATATAAAAATAAATGACAATAAATAATAATGAATAAATATATTTTATATATATGTATATATATTAGGTGCAGGAGAATCGGGAAAAAGTACAATTTTAAAACAAATGAGATTGATACACGCATCAGGATTTAATTCAAGTGAAAGAGAAACCTATCGATCAATTGTATTTGTAAATATTATGCAATCAATGAGATTAGTACTTGAAGCAATGGAATTTTTTAAAATACCGTTGGATGATAGTAATAATATGGTAAATAATCTTTTATTAATGACAATATTTTAATTAATTAATTAATTATTTATTTATTTATTTTATTTATTTATAATCTTTATCTTTTCTTAATAATAATAATTTATAGAAATATGTTTCATTGTTTAATGATTCACCGAACATCTCTAAAGGACAACCATTTCCAATTTTATATTTGGAACCATTGAAAAAATTATGGACGGATAGTGGAGTTCAACAATGTTATGAACGTGGTCATCAATATGCCCTACATGACAACATGAATTAGTAAGTTATCACGTGATGAGCGCAGTTTACACCGAACGCGCGTTTTTAATTATTAATTTATTAATTAATTCTAATTAATCGATATTTATTATTATTATTATTATTTTTTAGTTTCTTTGCATCGTTAGATAGATTATTTTCACAAAACTATGTTCCATCAGATCAAGATATTTTACATACACGAATGAAAACCACTGGTATTGTTGAAACGATATTTCATTTAGGTCAACATACCTATCGGTTAGTAAAATCTTAATATATATTTATATCCGTTATTTTTATTATATATCTTTACATAATTCTTTTTTCATTTATTAAACAATATTTTCTCTCTTTTTATCATTTTATTTTATTTTTTTTTTTTTGCATTTATTTGTTAATAGAATGTTTGATGTAGGTGGTCAAAGATCAGAACGTAAAAAATGGATTCATTGTTTTGAAGATGTGACAGCTGTATTATTCTTAGTTGCTATAAGTGGATATGATCAATGTCTGGTAGAAGATAGAGATGCTGTAAGTTAAATAATAATAATTAATAATTATTTAATAATTATTTCAATATCTTTTTTCTATTTTTTTTTTTTCACTTTCTCATTTTTTTTCTTTCTCATTTTTTTTCTTTCTTTCCTTTTTTCTCTCATTTAGAATCAAATGCAAGAAGCATTAATGTTATTTGATTCGATATGTAATTCACAATGGTTTGTAAATACCTCAATGATCTTATTCTTAAATAAGATTGATATTTTTCGAGAAAAGATTAAAGTATCATCTATACGAAAATATTTTCCCGATTATTCCGGTAAGAAAAAAAATAAAAAGAAATAAATAAATTTATATATATATGATAGATATATTCGAAAAAATATTTAATTTATAATCTAATAAAATATATTTGTATATATGATTATGCATATTTATAGGATCAAATGGAAATTTTAAACAATCATCACAATATTTCAAAAGAAGATTTCAAAGACTTAATCGTAGTGATAATAATAAAGAAATATATTCACATTTTACTGATGCTACTGATACAAATCTATTAAGGCATATAATGGGTAGCGTTACAGGTAAATAATTATTTTTATTAATTATTTTATTAATTATCTTATTTAGTTATTTTTTATAAATTAACTTATTTTTTCTTTCTTTCTTATTCTTTTAATTAGATATTATATTAACTCATAATCTAAAAGAATTAGTACTATAAAAAAATTTATTCATAAATTAATTCATTTACTTTCTATTTAATTACTTTTTATTTTCATTTTTCTTTCTTGTTTGATTTATTTCATTTCATTTCTTTTTTTGTTTATTATACATTTCCCATCCCATTCAAATCTCACTTGTTCTCTTCTCTAACATCTAGAATAATATAATATAATATGATATCATTCACCATCACCGAGACTGAAATGAAAATGAAAATGAAAAAAAAATGATTTTGATCAAATTAAAAATAAAGATGACAATAATGGTAAATAAATAAATGCGCTTATAATCTGATAATATAATTATCACAAATAAATTAGCACGGTAATGTGGCAGCGATAATCTTGCTATTTTCTCTATTGTTCCTATTTCGTTAATTTACATGACACGATAATGCTTTAAATATATCTTTTGGTACTAAAAAAAAAAAAAAATTCTATTTATTTTTACGAGTGTTTTCAAGGATCAAACAATTGGTGCATTTAAATAAATACCATTCGTATTACAGTGCAGTTTCAAAAAGTAAAAATAATAATACTGTCAATCAACAATTAAAATAACACTACATCTTGAAATTAAATTATATTGATAAAGTGATTTAAGTATTTTATGTATTTCTTTACATATATTTATACATTTAACATTCTTTCATCGCATCGATAATAATATTTATCATTTGGAAACTTGGAAAAATGATATAAAAAAAAAATGCAACGGCATTATCTATCCTAGAAGTCACTTGATAGCCGACTGTCTGACAATAAATTCAATAGATGAATATTATTTGTCATAAATATTTACATTTTTAGATTTTGCTCTAACTTTTACCTCTTCTGCGCCCCGCAAAATTGTATAATATTGCTATATACATAAATGCTGAATTTAATTTAATAGTAAAATTTTTTTTACACGCAATCACTAATAAATAATTAACCTACGGTAATTTTTATATTATATTTTTATTTGTAAAAATTTATTAAACAATAAATTATATTAATTAATTATTTATTCATTAAATTATATTAACTTTAAATAAAATAAGAAATGGCTACTCAAGAAATTGTTTGGAATGAAAAATTAAAAATTATTTGGAGTAAAACATGCTATTCTCTAGACCGCAATATTCATAAAACATTGACTGAGCAAGAAGAATTTCGAAAAAATATTATTGAAAATGATTCATCTCTTACAGAAAAAGAAAAGAATTTTTTATTTAATCAATTAAAGGATACATATGATGGATTTAGAATTGAATATAATTCTGTAGAAAAACAACAATGCAACAATTGTCAGAATTTGCATCAAGCAACCCAATATTGTGAATTTTGTATTCGTAAATATTTAGAAAATAATTTTGAAAATTGGTCATCTGGAAATAATGAAATTGACAAATTAATTCAAGAATATCAGCAAAAAACTATAGTACCTAATAAAATAATTGAATGGATTGAATATGATCAATTTGAGAATATCGAGCATATAACAGAAGGAGGATGTGCTTTCATTTATACAGCAATTTGGAAAGATGGATGCTATAATAAATGGAATTCTGAAAGACAACTATTGGAAAGATATGGAAGACAAAAGATTGTTTTGAAAAGATTGAATAACTCAAATAATAATAACGTGAATTGGTTTCAAGAAGTAAGTTAAATTATTATATTCCGTTTAATATTTCCAAATATTAATTACGTGATTAAAAACATTAGGTGACATTAAGTTTCACACTTGATAAAGCTTCCTCATTTCTTGTTAACTGTTTTGGATTAACTAAAGATCCAAGCACCCAAGATTATATGTTAGTTTTAAATTATTATGATAATGATTTAAGACATTTTTTAAAAGATAATTATCAATCACTTGCATTATTACAAAAATATAATATTATTTACAAAATAGCAAGTAAGTTACATAAAATTCATGAACAAAATATAACACATAGTGATCTTCACTCAGGAAATATTTTATATAATGCACGCGGTATTAACTGGAGAATTAGTGATTTAGGATTTAGTGGACCAGTTGACAAACAATTAGATAGTATCTATGGGAATCTCCCATACATTGCACCTGAACCTTTATGTAAAAAAGATTATACAACAAAATCAGATGTGTATAGTTTAGTTATTATAATGTGGGAAGTGATTACTGGCGAAACTCCCTTTGGTGATCATGAATTCGATTCTGATCCTTATTTTGCTCTTGCAATAATTAATGGATATAGACCTGAAATTTACAAGTACATTCCAGACGAATATGCAACTTTAATGAAACAATGTTGGGATGCTAATCCTGATAATAGATCTGATGCAAGAAAAATTAATAATAAATTGAAATCATTAATTCGGTTATTATATAATGAAATGGATAAGCAAGAACCAACTATTCAATCTAACAGTTCAGAATCAAATTTTTCCCAAACAAGTTTAACGAAAATTAAAAATAGCAAAAAAATCCAAACTAGTAAAGTATATACGTTTAATATTTCAGCTCAACCTAGAAATGCCACAGAAGGTAATATATTTTTAAATTTTATTTTTTATTTATTTTATTTTATATTTTATTAATTAATTTATTAATTTTTCATCATCTTTATAGAAGAACAAGAAGGTAAAATTGCTCAAATTATTAATTCCAATAAAAATCTCCATTTGATCCAAATTAATATAATGTTGTAACTTATATTTAGCATATCAAACTAAACAATTTGATTTTGAAATCTCTGAAGGTAATATTTTTAATACGATTAATAATAATTAGTTTGATATTTAAATGAAAAATACTTATTAGTTATTGCATAATTATAGAACTTGAGCAACTATCTCTTAATAATGTTGATGGCTCGAATGATTCTTAAAGTAAGGTAATTGATATGATATGATTCATTCTATTTTCATAAATTTATTTATTTATTATTTTATTTTATTTCAACTTCAGTTGATCGAGAATATGGGGTTGCCAGTCTTTCAAATTTGGGCTCGTAATTTCATGATAAAATTTATTTCTTATTATATTTTTGTTTCTTTCATTATTAAAACTTTGGATTTCATTATTTAATATTTTTATTTTTTTTTTATTATAAATTATTTTATTTTATTAAAATCATCTATGTATACTATTTTTTTTTATTATTATTTGAACAATTGATTTTATTTTTTACATCAAATAAAGTTATTTTACATTTATTTTATATTTTTAAAAAATTTTTGTCAAAATTTTACCTCACGTATACGGTACAGATAAATCTAAGAAATGAATTAAAAATTTGGATAACATTCTTTAGTTTACTTATTTATAATTTTAACTCATTAATAAAGATGAGAAGTAATAAAGTCGATAAGTAGAAGAAGAAAAAAAAAAATTATGTAAATTCATTAAATTCTACGTTAAAATAAAATTCGTTAAACGTTAATTGCATTTCATTTAATTATTAATTCGTGATGTGAGTTATTCAATTTGAGAATCTCGCATTCCTAGAAAATCCATATCCGATTATTAAAACACTTCCGATTACATATTGAATAGTGAATAAAGGAAAAATATAAGAATCAAAGTAAAAATTATTTAGACATGATTTGGTGCCACGTACAATTTACGCTGTAATTATTCTTTTATTAATTAATTTTAATTAAATTATTTTTACAAAGTTATATTCCATCGGATCAAGATATTTTACATACACGAATGAAAACCACTGGTATTGTTGAAACGATGTTTCATTTAGGTCCACTTACCTATAGGCCAGTAAAATCTAATATATATTTATATCCGTTATTTTATTATATATCTCTAATCCCTTTTCCTTTATTAAATAATATTTTCTCTCTTTATCATCTCTCTCTTTATCATTTTTATTTTCATTTTTTGCATTTATTGTTAATAGGAATGTTTGATGTACAGTGGCGGTCAAAAGTATTGCATCCCTGACTTTTTGCCTTAAAAAATTCTGCCTCCTGAACGATTGATTTTAGAACAATAGTTACTATACTCATTTTAATCTTTAAGTTTTGGAGAATTTTTTAATTTTTTTTTTTGTGCCAAATTAATAATGCTTATTTTTTCGCAAATGGGTGATCGACATCAGCAACTGAACAAAATTTTATATGGCACAGCTACAGTGACGACGATCATCATAGGGTTTATCATCCCTCTTGATATACCAAATTTCGACGATCGGGCCGGTGGTTGCTGCGTAATTCACTCTCAAAAATTGAAATTTTACATATGAAATAATAAAAAAAAATAATTTAAATGTAAAATTTCAATTTTTGAGAGTGAATTACGCAAGCCCGATCGTCGAAATTTGGTATACGTTCAAGAGGGATGATCAACCCTATGATGATCGTCGTCACTGTAGCTGTGCCAATATAAAATTTTGTTCAAGAGATCGAAAATTTTACCAAGTGCCAGTTGCTGATGTCGATCCCCCATTTGCGAAAAAATCAGCATTATTAATTTGGCACAAAAAAAAAAAAAAAATTAAAAATTCTCCAAAACTTAAAGATTAAAATGATTATAGTAACTATTGTTCTAAAATCAATCGTTCAGGAGGCAGAATTTTTTAAAGGCAAAAAGTCAGGGATGCAATACTTTTGACCTCCACTGTAAGTGGTCAAAGATCAGAACGTAAAAAATGGATTCATTGTTTGAAGATGTGACAGCTGTATTATTTTTAGTAGCTATTAGTAGATATGATCAATGTCTGGTAGAAGATAGAGATGCTGTAAGATAAATAATAATAATTAATAATTATTTCAATATCTTTTTTTTTCTATTTCTCATATTTTCTTTCTTTCTTTTTTTCTCATTTAGAATCAAATGCAAGAAGCATTAATGTTATTTGATTCAATAAGTAATTCGCAATGGTTTGTAAATACCTCAATGATCTTATTCTTAAATAAGATTGATATCTTTCGAGAAAAGATTAAAGTATCATCTATACGAAAATATTTTCCCGATTATTCGGTAAGAAAAAAATAAAAAATAAAAAGAAATAAATAAATTATATATATATATGATAGATGTACCTGAAAAAAATAATCTAAAATATATTTATATATATGATTATGCATCTTTATAGGGTCAAATGGAAATTTTAAACAATCATCACAATATTTCAAAAGAAGATTTCAAAAACTTAATCGTAGTGATAATAATAAAGAAATATATTCACATTTCACTGATACTACTGATACAAATCAATTAAGGCATATAATGGGTAGCGTTACAGGTAAATAATTATTTTATTAATTATTAAAAATTATTTTATTTTTTATAAATTAACTTATTTTTACTTTCTTTCTTATTCTTTTATTAGATATTATATTAACTCATAATCTAAAAGAATTAGTACTATAAAAAAAAATTATTCTTCATAAATTAATTCATTTCCTTTCTATTTAATTTCTTGTTTGATTTATTTCATTTCATTTTCATTTTTTGTTTATTATACATTTCTCATCCCATTCAATTCTTTCACTTGTTCTCTTCTCTAGAATAATATAATATCATTCACCATCACCGAGAGTGAAATGAAAATGAAAAAAAAAAATAATTTTGATCAAATTAAAAATAAAGATGACAATAACGGTGAATAAATAAATAAAACCGCTTATTAATCTGATATTATAATTATAATTGACAAATAGCACGGCACAGTGACCAGCGATAATCTTGTTATTTTTTCCTATTTCGTTAATTTACATGACAATAATGCTTTAAATATATCTTTTGGTAAAACCTTCAACTAAAAAAAAATCCTATTTATTTTCATGAGGTTTTCAAGAAGTTGAGTAAAGATCGTCATTTTTTATTTATTTGTAAAATTAGTGCATTTAAATAAATTACAGTTTCTGGATCGAATAAATTAAAAGTAAAAATAATAATATCAATAAATGAGATTAAATTATATTGATAAAGTGATGGCAATTTAAATTTAAGTATTTTATGTAATTCTTTTTATACATTTACATATTTAACATTCTTTCAATGGATGAATATTATAAATATTTACCTTTTAGATTAGTCCTTAAGACAATAGAAAAGTGATTTTGTGACTTAATTCACAAAGTCATATGACAATTCTCTGGAAATTATTTTATTTATTCCGTAAATAATTTTCAGCTATATATAAACGGATAATAAGTTTTAATGTTTTACTATCAACCTGTTATCAAAATATTATAATTGCTCTAACTTTTACTTCTTCTGCGCCCCCACAAAATTGTATAATATCGCTATATATACAAGTAACATAGCTGCTGAATTTAATTTAATATCATTTGCAATAAAATTTTTTTGCACGCACGCATATATTCCAATCACTAATAAATAATTAACTTACGGTAATTTTATATTATATTTTTAAACAATAAATTATATTTTTTAATTATTTATTCATTAAATTATTAACTTTAAATAAAATAAGAAATGGCTACTTAAGAAATTGATTGGAATGAAAAATTAAAAGGTGTTTGGGATAAAGCAATCTTTTCTCTAGACTTCAATATTCATAAAACATTTACTGAGAAAGAAGAATGTCGAAAAAATATTATTGAAAATGATTCATCTCTTACAGAAAATGAAAAGAAATTTTTATTTAATGAATTAAAGAGATTATATGATGCAATTAGAATTGGTAATTCCGTAGAAAAACAACAATGCAAAAATTGTCAGAATTTGCATCAAGCAATCCAATATTGTGAATTTTGTATTCGTAAATATTTAGAAAATAATTTTGAAAATTGGTCATCTGGAAATAATGAAATTG